AACAAAAAATTTGAAAAAGAAAGAACAGAGATCTTATAGACATTTTAACTTGAATTAAGTTTTAAAAAGTGCTAATTTAAAAATCAAATCGACGCGTGTAGATTAACAAAGATTTTATACAATTAGAAAGACTGGTAATTTTAAATTTTAACAAGCAGTGTAACAGCTACGTGAGTGATACACACCTGATGATGGCCATTTAGGGCCGAAACATGTAGTGTGGAGGAGGAAAAGAAGTAAAAACTACAATAAAATTTGTTGCACTTAAGACGGTATTTATCCATATATATTGTGTGAGTGTAACAGGATGCTGAAATATAATATTGTAAACTTTCATATTCATTATGATTGAACTGTATATAGTAAACTGTCTGAATAAATCTCATCCAGTTGATAATAGTTCTGCTCTATCCTTTTTCTCCTATTGATGTTATATATTTAGTCTCAGTAAGTTCTTTTACGTATAATTACACATCTCAGTGTGCTCTTTTATGTATAAATGCTTTCTTTATATAGTCATTTTGTAACTGTACCCATCTCAGGCATTTTGTAATATTTATTTTAACTGATTAATTTGCAATTCTTGTTGGTAATTTTTTCTTTTTTGCTTCAGGTTAAAGAAATCTTTGCAGAAGACCAACAGATGGCAATAGAAATCCTACATGATATTTCAGAGCATGAGAAAATAGAAAAACAGTCTGAAAATATGCAAAGAAGGGAAGAAGATGTTTCATGCAGAACTTCAGAGCATATTCCTTCTAGAGTTAATGCTTTGCTTCAGAGCTCTTCACCGTGGGTACGTCAGAGTCTAGGTCCCGAAATCAGCAGGTGCTATAGAGTTGGTGGAGATGAGCTAATGGTGAGGTATGCACGTGCCAAGTTGCAGTATCTCAGGAGCCAGACCCAGCGGAGAAGTGATAGTACCAGAAGAAGCAATCAGTTAGTTGAAGCTAGGGAAGATTTTATTGAAGATCTGAAACAAGAAGGTACAGATGAAGATGGTGATGGTGAAGCTTTGACAGAAGAAGAATATGAAGTTAGGGAGTCTGGTGAAGAAGAACTTGAGGTTAGAGAAACTGAGGGAGGAAGACTTAAAGACAAGGTAAATATAGAAGCAGAACTGGGAGTAGGAGAGGCTGAGGTTAGGGGGACTGGAGTTGCAGTGTTTGAGGTTAGACAGACTGTGGAGGAAGGGATTGATGACAGGGTGTCCGTAAACACAGAATTTGAGATGAGAGGGCCTGATGAAGGAGAATTTGATGTTGGCGAGACTGTGGAAAAGGAATGTGAAATTCAAGAGTCTCTAGAAGAAGGAGTTGAAGATGGAGAGACTGTGGAGGCAGAACTTGAGATGAGAGAGACTTCAGAAGAAAACGAGGTAGGGAAGATCTTGGAAGAAACAGCTGAGACTGCTGGGTCTGTGGATTTTGAGGTTGAGTTTAGGGAGATTTTGGAAGATGATGAGATGAGGGAGACATTGGGAAAGAAAGATGAGATGGAACTGGCTTTTGAAGAAGGTGTGAGAAATGCAGAAAGCCACATTAAAGAAACTGTATCCAAGAATATGAATGGGCAAGATAAGGATTATGAAATGCCAAGAACAAATACAGGTAATGGCACTCCAGAGACAAGGAGAGGTGGTAATGCTGTTAGTACTCCCATTGTTCGAGGCGAGACAAATGTTACATTCTCATCCAGTGTTAGTGGTATTGACAGCGAGACACTACACTTTAGACCACCTGAAGACAGATGAAAAACAGAGTCTCACTTACCAGTACAAGAGCCCACAAGGCCACAGAGATGGAAGGTGAACACCAGATGTTTTGTACATGCAGAAAACTTCCTCAGCGAGGATGTGACATCTGGATTTGGTCTCCTGTCATCTCATCGAGGATGTCTTATATGTCAACAAAATATTTGGTGCCCATCTTTGATCTTTGTGCTCCTGTGAGCCCTTTCTCTGGTAAGTATTATTTTCTTCCTCATCTATTGTATAATTATTTTTGTTACCAGATACTTTTACTTTTGATTAGAACATTTTGAATTATCAGAAAATGTGAAAGGAAAATTGGAAACAATCGATGCATATGCAAAACCAAGTTTAGTTTACATAATATTCTGTACTGTACCAACTGCTGCTATGTTTTTTCCCATTGTGCTGAGACTGACAGCCTCACTGCCTTTTGCAAGCCAATTGTCTAGAAAATGTGGGAGCCTCAACATCTCACAACCATATGGACCTCTGCGGAATTTTACAGGTATAGCTTTACCTTCTCTTATAGTAAAATTCAGGATGTCAGAATTCTTGAATGCTTGTAAGGAAATATGGAGATTGTAGATTGTATCAATGTACTGCATCTGGCAAGTCCCTGAATCTGTGTGTGTGTGAGTGAGAGAAGTTTTACCTGTTCAGTATCCTTGTGTGAGTATCTTGTCTCATTTTTAAACTGCCCAGCATAGAAGCACATGCACCTTAACATAATTAATTCTGAGAATTGTAATATAAATGTCATATGTAGTGGTTAAGGTACTATGCTACAAGCTGGAAGCTCGCGGGTTCAAGTCCCCGATGAGGTCATTGGATTTTTTTCAATTGACCTAATCCTTCCAGCCGCACTAGGCCCTGGGGTTTACTCAGCCTCTAATAGAAATGAGTACCAGGAATTAATTAAATGATTTTCCTGGGGATTGAAGCGCGGCTGGCGCATAAGGCTGACAACCTTACCGCCATCTTTGAGCCGACTGTCAAGGTAATGTGGGACCCTTAACGTCTCACAACCCTATGGGCCTTCACGGACTGTTACAGGGATAGCTTTACTATAAGTGTGGGACATGGTTTTTGGTCTCTCTTGTATGTATTGGCATTTTGTATAGCAGTGTAGTATGATAGAGTTTAATATGTAATTAATTAATTTCAATTCGCTTAGGGGGGGGGGAGTCCAACTGGGTTCAATCAGTACAGCAGCCACCGATTGGCCTATTGTACCTGCATCGGGTGATTATGATGATGGAGAATTTGGTGGAATGAAGATTGGCAGGGGAAACTGAAGTACTCGGAGGAAAACCGCCCCAGCACCACTTTGTCCAGTACAAATCCCACTTGACCAGACCCGGGCCGCTGTGGTGGGAAGCAAGTGACTAACTGCTAGAGCTATGGAGCGGCCTTATTTAATATGTAACCTCCACATGAATAATATTTCTGGTCATAATATTTTATACAGGAAGTTATATAAAATTTCAGAAGGCAGTTAACAGCTTAATTAAGGCTAAGGAAGACAGGACTGTCTTTTAAGTTCTGTGATAGTGTGCAGGTAAATTCAGTGCTTTGTGATGGCTACGGTGAATCTATTACAGTGGCATAAGATTAGGATTGAAGATCTAGAGGTTCTAGAAGAATAATATGGATGAGTAAGAAAATGTACATACAATTTTGAATCACTTTGGTTCAGTTTAAAATTAGGTTCAAAACAGTCTTCTTGATCTGTATCAAGGTTTTCAAAATATTTTGGCTTCAGAATTAAAACAACATACCTAATACAGGTTAACAGTCAAAGGTATAAGATTACAGAAGGTGACATTTTAAATGAGTACTTTTTGATAGAAAATTTACAGAATCTTAAAGAGTCAGGTTCTTTTGTTAAGAGTGTCATCCATTCAAGTATTTTGTTTTTATTACAGTGTATGAAATATCTGATTTTATGTAGTCACATCATGTCAAAGTGACTGAAAGACCTGTACCTTTTCTCTGCACTTGCAGTAGACTGCAGAAGTTTATCAAGGGAAATTAAGTGCTCTGATGTAGAATTAGAAGCAGTGTGAAGCAAATGGGTATGAGCTGGTTTCAGTTATATTGAAAAGATGGATGTGTACCATCCAAGGCACTGTATAACCTGAAACTATAGAATGTCAGGGACATGCGGTAGCGTAGTTGGTTGAGGGGCTATGCTACAAGCCGGAAGGTCGCAGGTTCAAGTCCCGATGAGGTCATTGGATTTTTTTACAATTGACCTAATCCTTCTAGCCACACTATCGCCCTGGGGTTCACTCAGCCTCTAACTGAAATGAGTAGCAGGAATTAATTAAATAATTTTCCTGGGGAGTAAAGCACGGCCGGACCATAAGGCTGACAACCTTACCGCCATCTTTGAGCCGCTTGTCTAGAAAATGTGGGACTCTCTAAATCTCACAACCCTATGGGCCTTCATGGCCTGGTACAGGGATAGCTTTACCTTTTTTACTATAGAATGTCAGTTACTTTACGTGTCAGAAGTATCCAGCTGCCCAGTGCTGTAAACCTACACGTTATATGCCTCTCCCACATCCTCCTGGAATTTGGTAATGCTGTTAGCTTTAGGAAGTTCTCGCATTACTAATTTGTAAGGTAGCTCCGGTTTTATATGCTCTGAAGGATGAAAATCCATATCTGTTTTTTTATTCAATTTTTTATAATTACCAATTATGGCATGAAAATAAGTTCTAATTTTTCATTGACAAAGTTTCTGTCTTTTGGTTATTTTTCTGTTGTGTGTGTCTCAAGGAGTTCTGTCTTGTGCTGAAAAGTGACCAGTACATCCTCATCTGGATTGATATTATTCATTCATTACAAGAATAAATTTAATCTGATAAAATTGGTCTTCACAATGGGCTTTGAAAAATATCTTGTATATGCCAATCAGGTTTTTTGTGCTGTACACCAACTACCCCCTCTCCTACAGCAACAAATTCATTTATTTATACAATCCTGTTGTTTTATGTCTAGTGTTACCATCCTTTTGCCTTTGTCCATGGCTGTCAGCAGTAACAAGGTATCCGATCCTTGGGAATTACTTAATTTTTTTACTTTGCCCATTGTCTGGTATTAAAAGGAGACTAGAGAGAATATGAGGACTCAGTAAGTGGATCTTTTCCCTTCCTCAGGTAAGGAGGGAATTGCCTATCAACAAAATAGGTGTCTCACCTGAGGGCGGAAATAACCAGTCTCCAAAATGTGTACTTTTTATAATTTTTATAATACCAAAAGACAGACAAGTACAAAACACAGTAATTCCGTGATATAAACCATTGTTAGAACTGTTTAGAAACTACGTATTGGATTCTTGTTAAAGAGTAACACAAAAACAATGATGCATTATGGAAAATGTTGATTTACATGTAGGTGCTTCAAAGATTTTGGTGGAAACAAATTCTGCGGTCCAACAAGAATTGCATCAAATTCCCACAATATCGGAACTCCAGTACTTTATATAATATGTAATCAGCTACAGCAGAAACTATATTTTATGAATAATTCATTTTATTTTTCAAAACTGGACTTAACATATATTTCCCGATCTTTCTCTCTTTAAAATAAGGAGTGAACACCTCCTTCCACATCCTTTGCAGTTCATCACAATCTTGCTTCATTGGAGACTATAGCATTGTAACATATTACCTTGAAGTATCGATAAGCAAGTTGAAGATGAATTGTGCCTGAAAATGAAGAACTGTAGATCATGTCATTCTCTTGCAAGGAGGTGTTATGCTGCATTATGAACAGTGTTTTCTATGAGGGCCGTACCAAACTGTTATAAGCAGGGCAGTTAGTGAGGAGTTAGCCAGTCAGTGGAGTGGAGTCGGTTGGTGAATGACTTAGTCAGTCAGTTAGTTGGTGAGTGAGTGAATTAGAGGACTGTGTGAGCTGTTGCTATGAGAAGCTGGTAGTTGAGGCCGTGGATCTTTCGGGAACAAAGAGGACGGGGAACGTCTGCCATTGGAAGACGCTACCAAGCAACAGCTAATGAAGACCATGACTGAAAACACTAGACTGTGTGTGATAGTGATTTATAAGTTGTTTAAAAGTTTAAGTGTTCAATAAATCTAATTATCAATCCACACCCTTACACTTGACAGTACAGACAGCCAAATGGCAGGATAGTAAGATGAATGAACAATTTGGAAAGAAAATGCTATGATAGTATATTGATCAATCCACGGCCGCTTCCTTCCCAACCTTTTCCAATTCATCGTTCATCCATCACCTGCCTATATGTGGTATATTCATGATGCTGGGTGTGTGGTTCGGTAGACCATGATCCCACATCTTCTAGACAATTCGCTCACCAATGGTGGTGAGGTTGTCAGCCTTACATGCTGGCCGCCCTTCAGCCCCAGGAAGATTCCTGGTACTCATATCTGTTAGAGGCTGTGTCGAAGCCAGGGCCACAGTGCATCTGGAAAGATTAGGTGCGTTGAAGAAAATCCGATGACCTTATTGGGAATCGAACCCGCGACCTTCTGGCTTGTAACATTATGCCTCATTCAACTATCCTACCACGTGCTTCTGCCTTTTGATGACATGACTAACTAACTAACGAACGCCATAGAGCTTGGAACATCTTGAGAAACCAATAGTCGCTGAGCTACTCAAGAATTTCCCTGCAACTTATTGCACTCTAAGGTTTATTACAGCGTACAAAAGGGCTGACCATTAGTCCCTGTCCTGAGCCAGACGAATTGAGTGCATACCACCCCATCCTACTGCTCGAAGGTCCGTTTTGATATTATTCTCCCACCTCCTAGGTTGATGGCATGCAGTACTTCGATATCCTATGAGGTCATTGGATTATTCAGTTGACCTAATCCTTCCAGTGTGACTATGGCCCTGGGGTTGATTCAGCCTCTGACAGAAATTAGTACCAGGAATCTTCCTGGGGCTAAAGGGCGGTCATCTGCGAACCGATTGTCTAGAACAAGGGTCTCCAAACTACGGCCCGCGAAAGAATTTTTCAGAAATGCGCCAATTGAACTAATTTTCCAGTGAGTACTGGTAAATGTGATTCCAAACTTATTGATCTAACATATTATACTGCAGTTTGATGGCTTTGCTGTGGAAAGGTTATTTCGTGCTTCTTTCAGCTAAGGAATGAAATTGATATATTTCTTACCGAGAAAAACTATCACGAACCACTTTTATCAGATACCAAGTGGCTTTGGAAGTTAGCAGTTTTGCTGATCTGGTGAACCATATGAACCATTTGAATTTAAAGTTGCAGGGTGAAAATAACTTAGTCTGTGATTTATTTGCACTTATCAACGCATTCAAAGCAAAGTACATACTTCTGGAAAGCCAAGTGAAAAATTGTAACTTTGTTCATATACTATACTCTGCAAAGTTGCATAAAAAGGGTGAAGCAGAATTTCCTTCCTCGTTTGCAAATTTAGTCATTTTAGATTTGAAAGAACAATTTCGGAAGCGATTTTCTGATTTGGATTCCAGTGCTCAGGAAATTAGATTGTTTCAAAATCCGTTTGACTGTGATGCTGCAGATGTCAAATTCAAATGGAAATTATTGAACTTTAGGAAAATTATCATATTAAAGACAAATACAAGGAAGGAAATTTGATCGAATTTTATAAATTTCTTAACTCTGAGCAATTTCCAAATTTAAAGAAATTTGCTTGTAAATTTATCTCCATTATTCGGACGACATATCTGTGTGAACAAACTTTTTTCACAGATGAAGTACATCAAGTCGAAATACGGGGCAAATTTATCCGATGAACATTTAAAGTCGCTACTTGTGATTAGCGTTTCAAAATTTGAACCTCAATTTAATCAGATTTTAAGAATGCAAAACGAGTTCCATCATTCACATTAATTGTTTTAATATAATTTGTGATGAAAATATGAGCATTTGCTGCTACTGCCTGTTGTCATTAATATACGATAATTTATTCTCACGTACTTTGTATTTAGTTTATGAAATTCTGTGCTTTCAATAAAACTCACATACCTAGAGTTATTAATTTCTCATTTTATACGGCCCGTTGAAAGTGCTGAATTACCTAATGTGGCCCGCGGTTCGAAAAGTTTGTTTACTACCGGGGTCTCTTTTCCTGACGTTCGCAAACGGCCTCGCCTTCCTTCCCTGTGACTCTGTTCTCACGGTGATTCCTCTTCTACTCCTCCCGCTACTCACTTCTTAAGGCCGCTCGTGCGGAGAAATTCCCTGACGAGATGCGAGCCGGTTCATGGGCACCACAATCATCCTCGATCGACGGTTCCGCTGGATTCTGAACAACACTTCGTCTGTCTGTGAGACTGCCATGACTGTTGGAGACTGGATGGCTTTCATTAAGTCTGGATCGTCTGGATTGAGGTACAGAACCACAGTTGGTCACGCTCCCTGCCAGGCGGTTGCAGCGCGCTTTCATTCTGTTTCCGGTTCCTTCCTCCCGGTGTCAACCTTGGCCTTCATCTTGCTATAGTCAATCTTCCTGTTAGATATTGTGACGTATTTGCGCTATGCAGGACACCCCCTCTCCCGCCTCCGGTGACGTAACACCTTCGGAGAGTTGCCGCTGCTATGGTAATAAGCCAGTCAACACCCCGCCCCCTCACGTGGTGACGTGTCCAAGTGATGCCACAGTTGCTATGCAGCAGTTAACAACTCCCGACAGTGTTGATAGGCTATCGGCAAACACGGTGTCAGGCAACAGCAGTACCTGTCATGTAACTGTTTTCTGTCTTGTCCGTTGCGAGGCTAAACAAGGAGCAGCGAACACTATTCAGAGTTAGTTAGTAGTGTGTGATCAGGAGTGACACAGTTGAAATGTAGCCGTCACCGGAGACAGTTGAATTGGAACAGTCGCCGAGCTCAGCTGTAGCGGAAAGAATAATACCGGAACGTGTGGTTAGAAGTGATAGTGGCTCACAAGAGAAGTAATTGGGAGTGTGTAATACAGTGACACTGGTATAGCTCCCGTATGGTACTGTGAATATGTGTAGACTACTGAGGACGGAGTGGACAGATTATTGTGTAGGGTTGTAAATTGTGTAAACCCGTAACAGTGTTATAATTAATTGTAGCCAGGACTTGTAGGTTGTTAAAACAATTAATCCGAACGGCGTCTTCAGTGGTAAAACACGTTACAATATTTTCACATTATTCCGACCAGGCCTGTGACACGAGCTGCTCTGAGACGAGACCTTGGCTGGCCTTACTTTGAGATTTGTGCGTGGCGCCAACCCCGCCCTCATCTTGTTCAATGGAACTGCCTTCTCCTTTTCTACCGTAGGCTTCGAGTGTGTATCGTGTTCGTCTTCCTCAGTTATCGGTATTTCTGTTTGCTGGCATCTGAGAGAGTGCTCATCGGCCCTCATCTTCAAATTCCTCACTGATTTCCTCTCATTCAGAAAGTGAGCAGGGAGTTCGTCTTCGTCCTCCATTGACCTCACTGAATCCCCCTCATTCCGAAAGTGAGCAGGGTTTTTGTCTTCCATCTCAGTTGCCCTCGCGGAAGTCAGCTGATCCTGAAAGTGGGCATCATCATCATCGTCTTTGCCTTGGTTATCTTCGCCTTCTTCCATTATGGTCGGCATTATATCCACAGCTTGCTGGAATCTTAGGCGTTGCTCTTCTCTTCTCAACGCCAAATTCCTCACTGAATCCCTGTCATCGTGAGAATGAGCAGAGCGTTCCTCTTCCATCTCAGTTGCCCTCGCGGAAGTCAGCTGATCCTGAAAGTGGGCATCATCATCATCGTCTTTGCCTTGGTTATCTTCGCCTTCTTCCATTATGGTCGGCATTATATCCACAAGTTGCTGGAATCTTAGGCGTTGCTCTTCTCTTCTCAACGCCAAATTCCTCACTGAATCCCTGTCATCGTGAGAATGAGCAGAGCGTTCCTCTTCCATCTCAGTTGCCCTCGCGGAATTTAGCTGATCCTGACAGTGGGCGTCATCATCGTCTTCGTCTTCGTCATCTTCGCCTTCTTCCATTATGGTCGGCATTATATCCACAAGTTGCTGGAATCTTAGGCGTTGCTCTTCTCTTCTCAACGCCAAATTCCTCACTGAATCCCTGTCATCGTGAACGTGAGAAGGGCGTTCCTCTTCCATCTCAGTTGCCCTCGCGGAATTTAGCTGATCCTGAAATTGGGCGTCATCATCATCGTCTTCGTCTTCGTCATTCGTCTTCTTCCATTATGGTCGGCATTAAATCCAGAGCTTGCTGGAATCTTAGGCGTTGCCCTTCTCTTCTCAACGCCAAATTCCTCACTGAATCCCTGTCATCGTGAACGTGAGAAGGGCGTTCCTCTTTCATCTCAGTTGCCCTCGCGGAATTTAGCCGATCCTGAAATTGGGCGTCATCATCATCGTCTTCGTCTTCGTCATCTTCGCCTTCTTCCATTGTGGTCGGCATTATATCCACAAGTTGCTGGAATCTTAGGCGTTACTCTTCTCTTCTCAACGCCAAATTCCTCACTGAATCCCTGTCATCGTGAAAGTGAGAAGGGCGTTTTTCTTCCATCTTCGTTGTCCTCGTTGAATCTCTGAGTAACTGAATAAAACTTTCGCCCTGCGCATTCATAATAATCTTCAATGAATCCAGCTCACTCCGTAACTGAACAATTTTTTCATCTACCGTCTTCGTAATAAGAGACAATTAGTTCAGCAATAAAGATAGACCAAAAATAACTGGAGAATGTGAAATGTTTTAAATATTTGGTTAGCTTGTTAGCAGATGAAGGAATGTGTACTTGAGAAATTAAATCTAGGATTGCCATGGCAAAAGTTGCATTTAGCAAGAAGAAGAATCTTTTTACCAGCAAATTTGACTTAAATTTGAGAAAGAAACTATTGAAATGCTACATTTGGAGCATGTCTTTGTATTGGGCTGAAACTTGGACACTTAGGGCAGTAGATCAGAAACACCTGGAAAGCTTCGGAATGTGCTGTTGGAGAAGGATGGAGAAGATCAGTTGGACCGATTATGTGAGAAATGAAGACGTGTTATTTAGAGTCTGTGAACAGAGGAATATCCTACACCAAGTAAGAGAACGAAAGGCTAATTGGATTGGTCATATCTTACGCAGTAACTGCCTTCTAAAAGAAGTTATTGAAGGAAAGATAGACGGGCGGATAGAAGCGACCAGAAGACGAGGAAGAAGACGTAAGAAGATGCTGGATTGCCTTGAGGACAGAAGAGGATATTTTCATTTGAAGGAGAAAGCTCTAGATTGCATTAAATGGAGGAACTGTTTTGGAAGAGACTGTGGACCTGTCGTCTTGACCGGTCTTGACAGATTCATTCATTCATTCATTCATTCATTCATTCATTTATTGTATATTCCATAAATCCATATACATAGATATAGAACCAGTCACATAATTAATATAGTACAATACAAATATAAATATATATGTACAGTTTATAATCATTAAAATAGATAAAAAACATGTGTTAAATTTATATAAAAAAACAGTCTTACGTCACTATACATAAAATTATGCAATATTAAAATTGTTTATGCTATTATCCTTATTTCTAGGCAAATTTGTTACTAAAGAATTAATCGCCTATATAAAAAGAAACGTGTTAAATTTACAGTCTTACATCACTATACATAAAATTATGCAATATTGAAATTGTTTATGTTATTATTTATATTTTCATTTGAAGGAGAAAGCTCTAGATTGCATTAAATGGAGGAACTGTTTTGGAAGAGACTGTGGACCTGTCGTCTTGACAGATTCATTCATTCATTCATTCATTCATTCATTCATTTATTGTATATTCCATAAATCCATATACATAGATATAGAACCAGTCACATAATTAATATAGTACAATACAAATATAAATATATATGTACAGTTTATAATCATTAAAATAGATAAAAAACATGTGTTAAATTTATATAAAAAAACAGTCTTACGTCACTATACATAAAATTATGCAATATTAAAATTGTTTATGCTATTATCCTTATTTCTAGGCAAATTTGTTACTAAAGAATTAATCGCCTATATAAAAAGAAACGTGTTAAATTTACAGTCTTACATCATTATACATAAAATTATGCAATATTGAAATTGTTTATGTTATTATCCTTATTTCTAAGCATATTTGTTACTAAAGAATTACTGATGAATGAATGAATTCGTGGCACCGGAGTAGCTCGGTCGGTATCGTCGTTATAGCCATGTGTTGCAATAAATTTATTTTCTTCGGAGAGTACATACTGGCTCTGGGGTCGCAATTGGTAACGGAAACTCATGCCCCAGGGTTGAACCGGCTGGGGCGTGAAACTGGCAACTTAACTCCATCTACTGCGAGGTCAAAAATAATGCAGCTACATTTCCACTTCCCCATATTTTTAATTGTTTACGCCACGTATATGTATTTACGTATTTATGCTGAAGTAGTACTTTAATTCATACGAGTACCCCAAAACTTTTACTGTTCTCTGATACCACCTTTCCCACATGTGATATAAAATTTTGTGCGACAGTTGGCAATGACATTGCATGTCGCCTTTTGTTTTCGTCTATGAGATTCCTACTACTATTAGTGATACTGTTTTCGTGGGGACGATAATGGCTGATTTCGATGCAATCTACGAGGAAGAAGAGGAACATGAAGGAACTTTGGAAGAAACATATGTCACGTTGGTACCCGATCCCGTCGTTATTAGAGGAGCAGGCAACATGACTGTGTAAGTGGAAGGTCAAATATTTCTTTGTTGCCAATTGATTTACCAACCTAAGAATGTCACATTGTGTGGATTTCCGACCTAAATATTGTGGTACGAAAGACTGTAAACAGAGGGAAAACTGTATAATTTTTTTTTTCTGCTAGAAGTTAGTTACAGAAAATTACATCACGTCGAACAAGTGTATTGTTCTTATTTATTCTTTATGATGGGGAGTGAATTCTCTTCGTTAAAATATATACAATTTAGTTTACTGAAAGTTACCAGTAACATGCATTTGTCTGTGTAGCCGTATGCGAGTTAGTGATGGCTCTTGTATTTCATATCAAGTTCTATTACGAACATTTTTATTTTCTCTTTGTTATGTTTGGGGTTACGTTAAAGATAGATGTGAACTTTCAGAGAGTGGGAAGCATTACGCGAATTTATTGCCTTAATTTTTGTGTTCAGTATGAATATAATTGATGGACGGCTAAGTGCCAAATACTTTTGTTTGCCTACACAGTCATATGAAGGTTTTTTTTTTTTTAAATATAAGATCTGGCTTCCCTGTCATACCATATGCTGGCATGCATTGAAATTGAGTAGTGATCAATTACTCTGTAGCTGACAAGAACACAATAGCAGGATATGTTTACATGCCTGTTTGGTGAATTTTTTCTGGTTCCAACAGATCCCAGCACAAAACATATGTTTGGTGTGATATGCTTCAGAACACTCAGCAATATAAAGCTTCACGTAGTGTTCCATATATGGTGTATGTGTTTTCTGTTTTACCCCTGTACATTAGAGGAATAAATGGTCATTGATTGCCTCTAGCTGAGTAACATGTTTCTTTGCTGTGACTGGTCTGCCGAGGGTGATGTAAACTCTCCCAGCCTTTTCAGTCAAACTCTAGACAACAGCTAATCAGAAGTATCCATAAGAGACTGCACTACTTGAAGTTATGAGTATGAAGCTGTTCAAAATTGTCATATCCTAAATGTGAAAGAAAAAGTTTTTTTGTCCACTTCTATGTCTGGTGTTATGTTGAGGAGTTGTTCAATATTCTGCCACCATTGTCAACATATCCCATATATTGGTTGCATATGCTATGTAATTTATGGCATTGCTCATCACCAGGGCCTGGATTTTGATGACATGTCATCTTTTTTTCCTTGTATCCTATGCGATGCTCTTAATAAATAAAATAAATTTCGGATATGAGCTGCTGGTTACAGAAATGTAAATTTTATAGGTAATTTTTTGTCATTTTGAAGTTTAAGGTCATTTTTTCACTTTTGAGGTAATTTTTCTACTTTTAAGGGTATTTCTTGTCATTTGGGGCCATTTCAGGGAATTTTTCTTCATATGTTTTGTGAAAAGTGGTTACAGAAATGTAAATTTTATAGGTAATTTTTTGTCATTTTTAGGTTTAAGGTCATTTTTTTCACCTTTGAGGTAATTTTTGGACTTTTAAGAGTATTTCTTGTCATCTTGGGCCATTTCAGGGAATTTTTCTTCATATGTTTTCTGAAAAGTGAATAACATGGAAGTGAAGTGTTCTTTTTTTTTTTTTTTCATATAGGTCATTTTTCTGGATTTTTTTGGTCATTTTTTTAAATATTTTCAGGTCATCAAAATCTGGGCCCTGCTCATCACAGTAGTTACGTTTTACTGTTTAGTTCTGCATATTTCTTAGTGTGTGTATATTATCTCTCCACGCTATTGCTTTCAATTTTATCTTATCCAGAAACAAATGTGCTCCATTTCTATAGTTTCTTTTGTGGTAGGCAGTCCTGTGGCAGTCCCTCCGCAGTTAAATCTGGCTGTCCTGTGACATTTCCTTTCGGTCAGTTCAGTTAATAAGCTAGGTGAGGAAAAAATGTTGCCCATGGGGTGCTTAGTCTATGGCCTTCCACCCTCTTTTTGTGAGGTATATTACAGTTACATCTGTTGCTGTTATATCTGCAGGCAAATGGGTCATTCCCTTTTCTGACTAGTCCATGTCATGGGCCCTGTTACCATAATCTGTAAATTTTTGTTCTAGTAGTTTTGTTCCTTGGTGATATATTGTTTGAAAATCTCCTTCCTAAAAAAATAAAAAGTAAAATATTGAGATAGGGAGTGTTGGAGTGTTATTTAAAGTAGGTGCCATTCATCTAGTTATAAAATATTTTGTAGTTTCCGTTGTTTGCTACAGTTTGGATCATTCTTGTCATTATCATTTCCACTGTTTGAAAGTGAAGAAACTGAAGAATATGAAGGAACCGGTTACATCTCATTTCTTTGTTTTTTGAAACAATTTTGTTGACTGTTCATCGTGCTTGACCCATAAACTTTGTATCTGGCTCATAAGAATTTAATAAATTTGCCCCTCATTGGTTAGAAGTAATTTTTTGTGAAGTCCTGAAGATTGTTGGATGAGATAGCTTTGTGTGTTGGATAACATTCCAACTTTGTGTTCAGTAAGTACATGAGCTGAATATTTACTAGGATACCAGGTATCTTTCCAACATTTTTCATCATTTTCATTAGTTCTTGTAGGCAAATGCTGAGGCAATACATAGAAATAGAACAAAATGTCTTCCTTTCACTCCTTGCCTTTGATCTCCTATATAATGCCAGATAATCTGGTCTCATCTTAATTTTTAACCTACTTGCTTTATGTTGAAAAAATAAACAGAGGCTTATTCAGTCAGCATGATGTCTGCCCCCCCCCCACCCCCCACCCAATCAACTTTTCAGTGGCTGAACCAGTCATGAAACTTGGTATGTATATCACAGCACCTGAGCCGAACCCAGTGGCTTACTTCATAAATTCTTCCTATCAGTCTGTGTCTATATATGCATCCCCCTATTGTTGCCAGGCAACTGCTGAGTAAAAACATTACCATGGCAACAAATACAGATGAAGCAGTAGAATTACTGGATGCATCTTTTTCTGTGCGGTCTGTGTCATATGAGAGCAAAATAGATGATCAGTTCTTTCTAGAGTTTTTTTTTTCCTCCAGAAAACCCCTCTCCAAGACATGCACACATCTCTCATCTTTGTGTTCCTTCCCTCCCCCCCATGAGTCTCACTCTTTACAGGTCTCTTTTCGTCTATAGAGTATATGTTACCTTTCTGAGTCAGTTACTTGACATACAAATCGGTTTTTAGCTTACTTTCCTTATTTTGGAGAAATAAAAGTAGACTTATGAGATGACCATGCTGTATGTGTGTGTCTTTGTCTGTGTTTATTTCCCCTATCAATTTTTGAATGGCTGAACCAGTCTTTATGAAACTTGGTATGTATATCATGGCACCTGAGGTCATCTTGACCGTGTACTTTGTAAATCCCTCCTGTCAGTCTGTGTGTCTGCATATGTATCCTCTTATCATTGCTAGGCAATGGCTCCATAAAAACGTTACTGTGACAGTGAATACACAAGAATAGAAGCATTGTTGAATGTGTCTTTTTCTCTGCGGTCCATGTCGTATCAAAGAAAAGAGGACAATTAGTTCTTCCCAGAAATTCATGTTTAAATTCCAGGTTGGCTGGATTAGTATTCATTCTTAATATCATCCCTTCCATCTCATAAATTAGATAGTCTTTGAAATACCTACTAATCATTCCTCTTGAATGTCAAATTTCCATAGACATCTGCCTCCTCCCATTGATGCATTGTCAAAACACGTACCCTGTATGAAGTAATGTCGTGCCTAATGTTTCTTCTTTTTTTTTTGGCAGATTTGGTCTCAGCAATAGATTTGATGCTGAATTTCCAAATGGTTTGGTGTCTCGTGTTGCTCCAGAGGAGTACAAAGCGACAGTGATGCGCGTGAACAGCGTTCTCAAGAAAACTCTCCCAGTGAATGTAAAATGGCTCTTCTGTGGCTGTGTTTGTTGCTGTTGTACGCTTGGCTGCTCCTTGTGGCCTGTTATATGTCTCAGCAAAAGGGTAAAGCAACACTGTCTGTAATGAATTTTAACTAACTCTACATGCAGGATTATCCTTGAGCATTCATTACTTATTCTTTGGTTTGTCTGAGTTATTCTGATATACCCTGCCGTGCTGGAACCTAAATAGTCATTAATGTGATTACAAATATCCACTGTCAGATGATATTCTAAGCCATTTCAATCCAGATTACACAGTTACAACCTATTTCTTTAGGATCCATTTAAATATTATTAGTTCATATTGCTAACCAAAATTCTGTATGCACTCCTAAGTTCCTCCCCATGTATGCTACATGTCCTATTCATCTTGGTCATCTAACTGTATTATACAAGTTGTGGAATTCTTTGTCTGATTTTCTCACGTATAAGACAGTAGAGAAATGAATGACTGGGGGTACTATTATGTTATAAAAGAAGCCCATATGTTGTTTTCTCATTGTTTTCAATTCAATTCTTTATTATTATTAATGTGCCGAGTCAACAGCCGCAAGGCCAATTACAGACACAGCACAGTGCAGAAGAATGAATGACATTATACACAATCTTATTAAAAGTCGAATAAAAATTACAGGTTAACACTTGAAGAAATAATAATGAATAAAGTAAAAGAAAACAAACAAATAGTTGATAATTATGACAGTAATAATAAGTTCATTATCATTAAACTAAGTGTTATTACGAATTCAGGA